GAGCCCCAGGACCTGGGGGTGTTCAAGAGCCTGTTGCTGAGTGGCAACACCCAGCCATGCCTTGTTGGAGGCCAGAGAGGGTCAGGGTGAGGCTGCAGAGAACATAGTCCTCTCTGCTCACCCACGATGGAGGAGGGGTGCGGGGTGGGGGGTGGCGTGTGGGGGCGTGTGAAGGGAGCAGTTAGGTGGGTATTGAAAAGATTTCCCCAGGCTCTGAATTTGAGAGCAAATGTTACCAGAATGCAAAGTACCCAAGATCATCACAACCCAGCTCCCCCCACCTCTCATCTCTGCCCTGGCGGGAGGGACCATAATGCAGACCAGAGAGGAAAGGCATGATCTCAGGGTATACAGCCAGAAAGTGGTAGGGCTATGCTGCCCGGGGCAGACGTCCAGGACACGGGGGCCCTCAGCCTCCAGAGGCCCCGGGCACAGTTTGGGTCACCAGATTCAGCAAATAAAAATATAGGATGTTAGTTAAATTTGAATTTCAAATAAACAATGAGTTGTTCTTCGTATAAGTATGCGCCGTGTTAAAATTTGGTACCTACTTGCACTAAACTTTTTGTTGTTGCTTATCTGAAATCCAGAGCTAACTGGGCCTCTCGTGTGTCACCTGACAGCCCTAGGCATGAGGAGGGGCAGGAGATGGCTGGATTTGGGGAAGGTGGAGCCCTCAAGTCAGACTGCCCGAGTTTGGGTCCTGACCCCACCACTAAACTAACCCCACAACCCCATTTGATTGCTGGAAACTCAGGCTGGGTTTTCTCCTGTCTTTATAGTACCAACCTCATGAGACTGGCGTGGGGAGTCCACGGGATCCTTCTAAAGCCCTTAGATTGCGTCCTGGCACACAGTCCAGGCTCAATATATGCTCCCTCTTTGTATTATGGACTGAATTGGGGTGAGCAGAGGAGCTATAATCAATTGCTAGCCATGCATGTAAGGCAGCCGGTCTCAAACATTGGGGTATCTGGACCCCTTAACGTTTAAAGAAGTGATGGCAGGCCCCGAGCTGTCCTGCGTGTGTGTGTTTTATCTATCAGTTGTTACAATAATAGAAATTGAAGCTGAGAAAAAAATGTAAATATCTATGTGTTCATCTTCAATGATAATGAGTCCACTGTTTACATAAATAACACATTTTGAGTGAAAATAGCTCTATGTTGTAAAACCAATAAAATAAAACAGTGAGAAAAGTGGCATTTGTTTTACATTTCTGCCCATCTCTCCCATGTGGCTTCATTGAAGTCGGCTGCCTTCTCACATCCACCACGGCATCTGGCCTCCTGCGCGTCATCCGGCCTCTGGAAAAGCCCACCTTACACCTATGAGTGCGTGAGGGTAAAAAAGGCAAGTATCTTAGTATTACCATAAAAATAGTTGTGACCTTCTGATCTCCTAATCCCGAGGGAGGTCCGCGGCTCACGGGTTGAGAATCCCTGTCTGAGGCCCATCTCAGGCAGGCCCCTAGCCGCCCCGGAGCCGCCCGCACATCCCGGCCACGGGGACAGAACTTGGGCTGGCGTGAGACAGTGCTGGTGCAGCCTCGGCCACGATGTCCACTCCCAGAGCCACGAGGAGCCCACCTGTGGTTAGAGTGCACTTTACAGCGAGGTCGCTGAGGCTCAGCGGCTGGAAGGGCCCTCCTGGCCCAGGCCCTCCATGGTCAGAGGGGGCAGAGCTGAATGGAGCCCAGGAGTATCCTGGGTGCCCTCCAACCTGCACACCCCTGATTCCCGCCCTGCCCCTGCACCCAACACATGTGCAGGCGCGCGCGCGCACACACACACACACACACACACACACACACACACACTGGGGGCCTGTCGCCAAGCAGGTGCCAGGGACTATAGGTGAACAGCGAAGGTCAAGCCAATGTCCAGGTAACCCAGGCTGCTCAATCTGTGAGCGGCCTCTGGGTGTACATCTTATGAGTATGACCTGGCACTCCTTGGCGTGGCCTGTGTGTGTCCCTCAGGGCCTGCCAGTGAGGTCTGTCTAGGGCTCCGGTCATGGTAGATGTGGGCCTGCACTTCCCCTTTGTGAGGGCTTGGTCCCTCCCTTTGCCCCGTGCGGGTCCCTTTGGCTCTCTGGCTCAGTGTCCATGTGCTACGTGGGTCCGTGTGCACACCCACAAGCCTGTGCCATGACGCTCTCTCTGGGTCAGGGGTGGCTGGGCATCTTGGAGGCTACGCTGGAAGATGGCGGCAAAGTTTTGCTGTTGCTTCCAGCACATTCTTCTGGGGCCAGGAGCGTCGTTGTGGCAACCAGTGGCCACCTTGTCGAAGAGCGGGTGTGTCTGTGATCACGTTAAGAGAGCTGGGTCTGTCTCTGCACTCCCAGCCGGCCCCTGAGCAGGCAGGTAGCACTCGGGACCCGCCAACTCCCGTTCCCCAGCTCCTTAGCTCTAGAAGCTCGTCCGAGCCCAAGCGGGAGCCTGGCGAATCTGGGAACGGGCTCCAGATCTTCAGTCATTCTGATTCGACAAAGATTTATTAACTCCAACTATGTGCTGGGCACTGGAGACCCAGTGCACCAAAGATAGATGAAGTCCTACACTTATGAAACTTAATAAATGTATTAATACCCAAGCCTCACACTTCCTCAGCCCCGACGGTGTGCCAGGCACTGCGTTTTGCAGTTTGTGTGTGTTAGTTCAGTTAATCACTGCACTGATTCTATTACTGTCCAGGCACAGGTTAGGTTACTGGCTCTAAACTACACAGCAGAAAACAGCAGAGGCAGGTTGGAACACAGGGCATCTGGCCCCGTGCTCTTCACCGCTAATCTGCACAGCCTCTAATAAATGAGGAATACCATTTAATATAATGGTAAATGCCACAAAGAAACAAAAATTAAAAAAAAAAAATAAAATAAATAAATAAATAAAAAAGAAACAAAAATAGTGGATATAAGGTGTTAGAAGCCAGGGTCGCTGGGATTATACTATTGAAGAGTTGGCATTGGAGTTGAGTCTTATTAACCAAAAATAGCCAGCCATGCAAAGGTCAGAGGGAACAGCCGATGCAAAGGCCCAGAGGCAGGACGGAACATGGCACGTTTGGAAGAACAGAAGGAAGGCCACGAGCTGGAGCCTCATGAGGGAGGGGCTCTGTGCTGTCACGGATGAATTGCCAAATCTCAGCGGCTTCCACAACAAGATGTATATTTCTTGCTTGTCAGTGTTCCTGATCAGAAGGTGGCTCTCCTCAAAGTGGCCATTCAGGGACAATTTGGAGCCCTTCCTTCTATGGTTCTGCTGCCCATACTCTATGGCCCCTGGGTGGCTGTGTCAGGCTTGCGGAAGGGAAAGAGCCTGCGAAGTGTTGATGGGCTGGGAGTGGAGCACATCACCCCCACTTCGTGGTCCAGAGCCTAGCCCCCCGGCCACTCTCAACTGCAAGGGAGACTGAAACATGCTCCAGCAATATGACCTGGAACAAGAGGACCCCAGCATGGTGCGAATGTAGCCAGACTCTGCCACCAAAGGCTGCTGGCTGTATTTTGACGTAGACTAATGGGATTTGCTGATGGATGGGGGGTAGAGGAAGATAAGACCCAAGACTGAGTCCGGGACCAGACAGCTGACAGAGGTGGAGAAGGTTAGGCTCTGGAATAGGGGAGAATGGGAGGATTTGGGGTTCCCTTGGCCAGCTGCTGGGGCACCCCCTGCAGGCCTATCCCTTCAGGGCCCTTGGGAAGGCCTAGATCCTGCCCTGTGGAGCCTTGGGCTAGGTTTAAACTGAAGTCCAGAGGATGTGGGAATGTGTGTGCACACACATGTATGCATGCATATGTATGTCTGAACAACAAATAGGACATTTATCCTTCCCAAGCCCCCTGCAAACTATTTTGCTGCGGCTGGGTGTACCGTGTTGATGAGAGGCCTTTCCCAGGAGGCACAAGTCCCGCCCTTGGTCTTCTTTCTGCTAGACTTACTGCGTGCCCTTGCATAAAGCCCTGCCCCTCTCCGGGCCTCAGTTTCTCCACCTCTAAAACGAGAGTTTTGGTCCAAATCAGAGGCTGTACGCTGGTGGTCCAAAGGCCAAATTCAGCTTGCAGCCTGCACCATCCTCATGGTGTTTGTCAAAATACCAAAAAGGTGGGAGATTTTACTTAAGTTTTTGATTCAGTCTCTCAAGATTTGGGCCTTTTTCATGTCTGCTTTATTGAAAAGCCATTTTAGGAATAAACCAAAGAGGGGGAAATAACTTTGCCCAACACAGTGCCCAATATTTTTTACCATTGTGTTTGAAGAATCCCATCATTATGGAAAGAATAGTATTAGTTAATAATAGTAATATTTATCATTCATCCATTGCTCTGCAACTCAAAGTGCCATACAATCATCACTAGGAGGACCCCGTGACGTAAATATTATTATCCTACCTTTACAGATGGAGAAATTGAGGCTCAGAGCTCAACTGAGCTGGGGACCTCAGCGAGGGAGCAGGCCCAGGGTCAGGAACTAAAAGTGTGCTAAGGGGCCAGGTGACAGGCTGGCAGGCAACCTGGCCATTCTTTTCGTAGGCCTTGCTGCCCTCATGCCAGACACACTCTTCATCTGGATAGTAAGGAAGGACATGGGGGTAATTTCTGGTATCTGGGGAGGCTGGTCAGAACCTTCCCAATTCTTGGACACCATGAGGCCAGGAACAGAGGGACTGCAAGCTTGGAAATTCTCTTTGCTCATGGTAGACTCTGGTTTTCTAAGGCAGAGATAGACTGTAACATGGAATCTATAAGAAGTTTCTGTATATTTTCTCCTCCCTTACCTACCCACCTACCTACCTATCCACCCATCCACCCACCCACTCCCCCATCCAGATATCCACCCATCTACTTACCCACCCACCTACCCACTCCACCATCCATCCATCCATCCATCCATCCATCCATCCACTCACCCATCCATCCAGCTACCCATCCATCCACTCATTCCTTCACATCCCTACCCATCCTGACACCCAAGTAAAGAAGAAATAAACGGTCCAACGGAAGAAATCAACCAACCATCCAGCCATTTTATTTGTCCATGCTGTGATCCAGGCCCAGTGCTGACATTGGGGAGTCCAACACAGCCTAGACACTGAGGGGCTCCCAGTGCGTGGGGCCATCAGGCTGTGGTCTCAGAGGTATCTGAGTTTCACCAGTGTCTGTGGGCACAGAGTTCAGAGGTGCCATCTCTTGGTGGCTCATCACAATCGCCAAAGGTCCCTGTAGTCTGCCTCACACCACACCTCACCCGCAAGCAGAGACACCTGGGGACCAGCAGATGCACAGGCACACACCCCCCTGAATCTCTCAGGCACATGGAGAGAGACACACACACAGCTGGGTATATGCAGGAGAACACACAATGTAGGCACATCAGCACCGCAGAGGTGCTCGAAGGTGCAAAGTCACGTGACTACCCCCAAGACTCCCAAAGGTCACGCACACACACACAAACACACACACATGCACACAGAAATGCAAACGGACACATATTAGAACACCCACAGCCTCTTGGAGGAGAGCTTTGCAGGTCGGCAGGCACTGGATATAGGTGGACCCAGAGCAAAGAGGACTCATCCACAACTCTCTGCCGGTCTGCTCTAGGACCACGACATCCAGGAAGCCCTGTTGAGCCCTGCTACTCATGGGATCCCTCACCCCAGTTTTTCTGCTCCGTAACTGAGGACTGTGCCTCACCTGTCAGGACCCACGGCAATGGGAGGGGCATCCTGGTGAGCAGCGGGCTCCCTGAGCTGGTTTTGCCATGTGGCGAACCATCAAGCCCTCTAATGGTCACCCAATGCCAAGGGCACGGGCCTGCCCGCCATATGGCTCATCACAGTGACCTTGCTCAAAAGGCGTAGGCTGGGGATCTGATTCCTTTCCCAGGTAATACCAATGACACCCCAACCCAGGCATCCAGGGGCCACTTCTGCCTGCTTGGCCAACAGAACTCGAGAACCCAGCTATGTGAGGGTCCCCATGGGAACCAGGCCTCGCTCCTCCTTACCCCAAAGCAAGTACCAGAATTAAGAAGAAGCACAGGCCATGGAATCATACAGGCAGACTCGATATAAATAAAATATTCATATAAAAATAGTCTCTTACAAAATATTCTCTCTTATCCAGTGGCTCACTTTCCAAAAGATGGAAACTGCTGGGAGTTTTATTATTATCTTTCCTCTCTCTCTGTATTCCAAACTGGATTCTTCTACTGGTGTAAGTTTGAGCTGGGGAGGACTAAAGGATGGGAATCATAATCTGGGAGACGACTCCAAATCTGGACCAGCTTAAATTTCTGGATAAGTAGCAGCAAACAGCAAAAAAATATAAACGTGTGTGTATATATATCTATATATGTATAAAGGACGTCTGCTCTTAAACATCTAGTGCTGCAAGGGGGGGGCGGTACTTGCAAAATCAACTAGTAGAAATATCTGCATAAAGGATAATTATGTACAGTTCTACTTGACTCCTTGTCCTAGCGACAAAATTATCCCGCAAGGAAAGCAAGCAGTCCACTTTGATTGCAGAAAACGGATCCCGATGAGGTGGGAGGATTCTTTTTTAATTTAATAAATTAATATTATTTTTTATCAGAATAAATTGTTAAATATTGCTATGTTGAGGCCCCAGGGCCCAGAGCTCCTGGTGCAAAAGGCTCTGCTCCAGCCAAGGAGGGCCCCACCAGGCAGTGTGTGGGGTGGGGCGGAGCAGCAGTGGGTGTGGAAGAGAACAGTCCAGGGCTCTGGGGAGATCTTTCCACCGGGCGCCTGCAGAAAACCCAGGAGAGGTGTCCCCACAGCAGAAAAGACAAGCTCAGCATTCCCCCGCCGAGATCCCGGACAAGACCTGCCAGGGTGACTGCAGCCGGAAGCTGTCCGGTCCCCCCTGCAGTCTGACTTGCGGCTGGAGGCGCCCAGCCGCCGAGTCCCGGGCTCACTTGCACGTGTACACCTCGGTGCGCTCGCTGCAGGTGTTGCACTTGACATAACAGCACCAGTGGAACTTGCAGTTGCACTGCCACACGCGGGCGTACTGGTGGGTGTTGTAGCCGCGGCCACAGCACATGAGGTCGCAGCCGCTGGCCTGCGGGGCCGTCTTGTTGCAGGCGCGGCCCTGCGTGCCCACGCTGCCCGTCACCGGGTCCTCCTCGCAGTAGTTGGGCGACTTCTCGATGTACACCAGGTCTGTGTCCATGGGCTTGCGGTACGACAGCGGCTTCTTGATCTTCAGGAAGGTGGGCCGCTTGTTGCGGCTGGCGCGCACAGGCTCCACGTGGACAGCCTCGTTGTACTTGTCCTTGAGCACGTAGCCCAGCTCCCGGAACTGCGGCAGCGTGGTCCAGCATGTCTTGGTGGTGCACGAGCCAGACACACCGTGGCATTTACATTCCAGCTTCATGTTCTCCTCCAGGATCTGCAGGGGCGGGCAGGGAAGAGCACAGCGCACGTCACTGCACACTGCAAGCAGCGGTCCCGGGCGGCCCCCAGCCCGGCCCAGCCCCGCCCAGCCTCGCCCAGCCTCGCCCAGCCTACCCGGCTTGGGCTTTTGTGGTTCTTTGTGGTGGGGGGTCTCAGACCTGGATTCAAATCCCTCTCACCCCTGGCCTCTGTGCTGTGCTTCTACCTGGAGCTCACTTGCTCTCCCGGCCCCTCCCAACTCCTATCTGGTCCGTAGATTGGTGCTCAGGTCAGTTCAGGCCAGTCCAAGGCACACAGAGGGTTCTCTTTGACCTGCACAGCTTTATTTATTTTTTATTATTTTTTTAAAGATTTTATTTATTTATTTAAGAGAGAGAGATGGAGAGCGAGAGCACGAGCCGGGGAGGGGCAGAGGAAGTGGGAGAAGCAGACTCCCCGCTGAGCAGGGAGCCCCATGCGGGACTCGATCCCAGGACCCCAGGATCATGACCTGAGCCGAAGGCAGACATTTAACCAACTGAGCCACCCAGGTGCCCCTGGCCTGCACAGGTTTAAAATCATTTTTGAACCAACATTTAAAAACCAGCAGATAGACTTCCGGGGTTGGTTGGTTGGTTGGTTGGTTTCTGTGTTTTGGCAAACAGAAAGGGCATCTGGCAACTGTAGGGTGAGAGTCAAATCATTTACTAACTGGCACAGCTGAGGGCTGGCCTACGGGGAGGGCAGCATGGCCGTCCTCTCCCCACAGCCTCTGCCAGCACGGTCACGTGGCAGCAACACCAGGAGCTGTCCCAGCAGCTGCCTCCTTCCCTGGCTGGCATCCCTCAATCTGCCACAGTCCCCACCACTCCATATTGCCTCCCTGACCTCAGAGGTCCTCTGCTTTGACCACTTATGACATCTGCCAGGCACGGTGAACACCCGAGGCTGGGAACCCTGGCTCTGATTTAGCCTTCCCTGGCAGCTTTCCCTGCCCTCCAGGCTACATGGTGTGCCTCTTCTTCTGAGTTCCCAATTCCCCTCAGGCTCCCATCGCCATAGCACTGAGATGCAGCACTATACGGGGGACGAGAAGCACAGATGCTGGACTCTGGGTTTAAATCCCAGATCTAACACCAACCTGCTGTGTGCCCTTGGGCAACCTCCTTGAGTCCTCTGTGCTGCAGTTTCCCCGTATGCAAAACGGGGATGATAATTGTAACTAACTGTAATCATACAACGAAGCACTTGACAGCAACAGAAAAGAATGAACTAATACACACAAAAAGAACAGATCTCTAAGATGTAATGCTGAGTGAAAGAAGTTGGATGCCAGAAAGAACCAACTGTGTGATCCCACTGATAACGAAGTTCAAGGACAGGCAAAACTAATGGCTGGTACGTGGGCAGTTGGCCCGTGAGCCATATTTTGCTGACCCCTGCCTTGGAATATCCCTGCAAGCAAAGAAAGCAACATTTACCAACCCCCCATGGTACTGGATATTTAGCTTGTTTTCAGGCTTTGGGGTTTGTTCTTTTTAAAATCTTTTCTCTCCCTGCCTTCTTTCTTCTTTCTTTGTTTAAACTATATTATAGAAGGAAGTATCTTTGGAACTAAAGCTTCTCTTCCTTTCTCATCATCTTCAGCCCGATTTTATCCCAACAGACATTTATGAAGCTCCTACTGTGTACCAGGTACTGGGATGGGGATGTACTAGTGAGCACAGTTTCTGGGTCACAGTGTATGAGCATTTTCATGGTCTTCATCTGGACTGGCAAATTAACTTTGCCTGTTATAGAGTGAAAAAAAGAGGGGATTAATGAGTAAATGACTGAACATTTATTAATCACCTGTACATGCACTGGGCCCATGTTTTCGTATGTGCCATTATTTAACTCTATGAGGTTAGCATGATTCCATTTTACAGGGGTAAAAACTGAGGCTCAGCTAAGTCCTGGAGCTGGTCTGTGGGGCATTCAAAGGCAAGGGTCTTACTGCTGAGGGTTGTGAATCAACTGCTTGGTGGCTCTGCTGACTTGCTTTGTGACCTTGGAATTGTCACACCCCCTTTCTGGGCCTCAGCCGCCTTCACTGAAACATGGAATGAAGTCAATTCCATCTTTTCTTGGCGAAAGCCAGGGTGCTGGAACAGAATCAGACATTCAAAAAATAGTCATTAGCTCTGCCTCTGGGCCTGGGCCGGTGTGGGTGCTGGGGACACAGAGGTGACAAGATAAGTTTCCTGCCTCCAAGGATGGGCTCCTGTTCAGGGTCCTCCCAGTCCTGTGAGCTCTGCTTCCAGGAGGAGGTGACCAGTGCTTGGGTCAGTGGCCTCAACGGGTAGGGAGCACCACCCTGTTTCAACCACAGTATCTGGAATCAAATGAGCCAGCAATGCCACAGCATCCAGAATGTTCTGGGACAGAGATTTCAGTTGGCTGAATGCTCTGATTCCAGGACACCTAGAGTGACAGAGCACCTACTGTGCGCTGTCGTCCTCATACGACCTGCACACATGCGCAGCTGCTACTGGGATGAGCAGCCCCCCAGATAACACAGATGTCCCTTTTGGTTGTCAGTGAGGAGATAGTTCCCCAGCGTCCAGCCCGCCTCCCCGCCTGGGCCTGAGAAGCATGGGAAAAGAGCAAGCAAGAAAAGGCTCGGGGGTGTGGCGATGCGCTTTGGGGGCAGGGTTCGGCAGCAGGTTCCGGCTGACTGGGATTGCAGTGCAGTCAGAAGTTTCAACACACACATGCTGGGGGACACTCCAAATGGATTCGGACGATGCTGAGGATGTGGGGCACCTAGAACCCTCAGCACGGCTGGTGGGTGTGCATACACTGCATGGTGTCTGATAAGACACGCTGACCTATGGCTCAGAAATTTCACTTCCAAGGCATATACCTGAGAGAATCAAATGCTTGTGTGCACAGGAACCAGGCTCAAGGACGTTCATAGCAGCAGCATTGAAGGACATATGGAGAGGGCCCAGTGTGGTCTCACGGTATCTTCACACTGGGCGCTCTCCGTATGGCCAGCCACGGTGGGATGGATAAGCTGAGGGGTGCGCTCAGCGGGACACTACAGGACAGTGACGATGAACAGCTATGGCAAAGCACACCAACAGAGGTCAAGCCCAGAAATACAGTGGGGAGGGAAAAAAGCAATTGGAAAAGACGTCCACGGAATGAGTTCATCCATATCAGGTTCAAAAGTAGGCAAAAGTGGATTGTATTGTTCGGGGGCACCTACAGAGGCGGAAAGTATAATAAGAAGTCAAGAAATGAGGGTCACCCTCCCCACTCTCATGTGCTCTCTCTCATTCTCTCTGTCTCAACTGAATAGATAAAATCTTTAAAAAAAAAAAAAAAAAGAAATGAGGGTCACAAATATCAAGACGGTGGCTGTCTCCAGGGTGGGGCGCGAGGGGCTGTGGTTGACAGGGGTCATCTGGGGCACTTCTGGGGTGCTGGCAATGTCTGCTCCTTGATATGGATGCTTTATAATTCTTCTTTTATTTTTATTTTTTAAAGATTTTATTTATTTGCCAGAGAGAGACACAGCGAGAGAGGGAACACAAGCAGGGGGAGTGGGAGAGGGAGAAGCAGGCTTCCCGCGGAGCAGGGAGCCCCATGTGGGACTCG